TGCCCATCCATCCACTCATTTTGTGCCTGCACCATGACGGGAGTGGGGGATTATAAAAACAAAGCTGTCGGTGCAGACCACATGAGCGACCGCATCAGGATCTGAAGAACCTCAACAACACATGCAAACACGAACACCGCGAGCCCAGTCTCTCTTAAAGTACACCTTTTGGGAAGTCGCATTATGGTGCACTGACTCGCTTAAAGTACACCCACGGCTTTAGATTCACTCTGGTGGCAAGCATGGCTGTCATCCTCTCCTTTTCATAGCCCTAGGAGCACACATGGACCGTCTTCACTCCCTTGAAGTCCAACTTCTGCTCTGCAGGCATTTTAGGCCACACAAGGGTTTGATCTCATGAACGATAAAGTGTGGGACGATCTCGTGCTACGTAGGATTACGCAGTATGAAGGCCCAGGACGTCTCCACCTTTGCCAAGCTCTCTGCATGCCACCACGGTCAGTACAAGGCAATTTAGGAGTAGATTCTGTGAGTAACGAGTCAGCGCAATATGAAAGCCTGAATCCTGCTCGTGCATGAGCTTAGTGAACAACTTGCCCCCGACCTCCCTCTCCATAGCACGAACGCTATTCAGCTCCTTCAGACGCTTCTCTTTCACGGCGATGGAGTGCCACTTGTGCTTCTCTTTGTGAATTTACAGAGAAGGCGGACAAGTGTCAACCTTTATCTTGAGCTATGCTACATCTCAGTGTTCACCAAGGTTTCCAAAACGGATTCATTCTTTTCATACCATGTGTGTCTCTCAAGCGCCCTTCTTATGAGATAATATCCATACATACATGTACTACTCCCGCCGTGCATAGCCCTTGGCCTTGCATTAGCGTATGGCGCATTTGTACCACCTGGAGCCACATGAGTTTTCTACTATGTGAGCAAGGACTATCAATTTCCACACTTGGGACTCGTTTGCCTTCCTTCCAAGGATAGCCTGTGAAGGATTGGATGGCTTGCAGTAAGTGTCAAGAGCGTACTTAAACTAAGTAGTTCAATTGTGGCCTATGCTACATCATAATCCTTTTGAATATCGCATTGTAAGCTAGTATCCAACTTATCTTCAGATTTGAAATGCATAACTATGTTATTCGGTCAAACATATGCGGTGCTGGTGCAGGTTTTGGCACAAGTCTTTCTAATTGTGAATGGCCTTAACCCACTCTTCTTAGGTGCGTGCTGGACGTATGCTGTCATCTCAAGTGTGGAGGCAGCATACGCCATTGCAATGAACCAGACGGCTCTCCAGCTCTCAGTGGAGCCACTCTTTGCAGTCGTGGGTCTGAATGAGACAAAGTGCACAGCTGGTGGCTCTCCCACTGCAGCTTTTGAGAAGCTGATAACTCTTAATGCCACCAGTGGACTGAAAGGAGGCAGTAACCAGGTACGGCAACCTAAATGAGTCGAGATGGAGTCATGAGACATGCATCTTCATGTGCAGTTTTCCAGTTTGCCTGTAAACAATGGAGGCAGTAACCAGAGGACGAGGCAGAAAGAGGAGCCTGAAACACAATGTATTGCTTTACATGTGACTAACACACAAGTGAATTATAAAAAGGATTATCCGGAGCCAGCAATTAGGTAAGACAACCATAATGAGGTATGGTAGTTGAGGCCAGTTAAAGTCATAAGAGTCTTGTTCTTGTGCACTCTCACAATTTCCACAATTTCGTGTAAATGGTCATAAACGATTTTTGGTATGATGGGTTGAGTCATTCCAGAAGTCACATACTATAGTACACTCTTGTAGGACAGCACGTACAATCCATATGTGCTACAGATAAAACACAACCCAACAACCAGCATTGTGGTTTCAACGCCGTCTTGCAATGCAGTGTAAGCGTTGTTGGGTAGACTTGTACACTATTGATATTGCGTATGTATGCCCAGTCTGTCCCCTTTTCTGCTTTAGACGCACAAAAACCAGGATCCTGCTTGCTACATTGGAAGCCTAAACAATGTGGTGCTGGTCATTGGCTACCTCATCAATTGAGATGACGGCAGCCAGGGACGCATTTCTCCTCCATCTTGGATCATCCGCAACTCATGGGGAGTCAATTGGGGTGACGGTGGCCACATGCGCATGGGCATCGAGGGAGAAAATGGCGTGTGTGGCATCAACATGCTACCTAGGATCCACCCCATCATCAAGAGTGAGCCATCTGTCCCATTGCCAAGTGTGAGTTCACCCCATTGTCAGACGTAAGACTGGAGCAGGTGACGAACCATAATTGGTTCTTATGTTGCTCCTTAAACCATAATCATTTTAACCCCATACCCTGAGATTGTCCTTGAAATCAAAAGCCGAACGTGCTACGAGATGGAGACGACTAACTAGTGAAGACAATACGAACGAGTGACTAGCTCCGCTGTCTACTAGAATAATGACAGAACTCTATGAAGTTTCCCTAGAAGCACAACTGGACGATCAATAGTATCTATAGAGTTCGGCGTAGATGACTGCTCTAGAGCTATCTCCTCTACGTCTTTAGACTTGACGGGTACAAAAGCCTCCACACCAGCGAGTGATCTGCTATCTACTGGCGGTTTCTGTTTCCCTATTGCCTTCCTTAACCTATGGCTAGTCCCGCTTCATGTGTCCCAGCTTTTTGCAATAGTGACAGTTCCCTCTAAAACCTGTTTATTGTGATCCGTCACTGTTAACTGCACCAATCTCCATGGGCGATGGTCCGTCCCTCGATCTCAAAGTGTGCGGCAGCCATATAAGTATGCGAGGTGTAGTTTCGTCTGGTGTGACTTCATGTGTGTAGTGCATGAAGTCAAAGGCACTTCTTTGCACCATACGGTGATTGCAGCTCACAGGATCTCCATTTGAGTGAGTTCAGTCAAGGTTGCAGGGATGGCGTCCGTTATCTGGTTGTTTGAAAGTTTACTGGTAGATTCGCATTCAGGGAAGAGGGAGGACGGGCAACCACGAAAAGGAAGAGAGAAAAACACAAGTAAGAGGAAGAGGAAAGGTAATCAACACGATGTACATGGGCCGTGAGCAGAGAGAGATGGCAGGTGAAGGTGGGTGAGGAAAGGTGAACATTGAGTGACTGACAGGGTGGTGAGGGTGAGCATAGAACCAATCTCAGTTGGGATAGGCCCAGACAGTTGGTTGGAACTCAGATCGCTGTGGGGCAGCAGGGATCGTGGAGTGGAGGGTGGACAGCAGGGGGGGAAGGAGGTTGGGAGGACAGTTGGATTGGAAGAGCTTACGGTCAATATGAAAGGTGTCGAAACTAACAGAACAACAGGCTGGCGGTGCTGGGAGAGTAGAATAATGGGTGGAGATGAAAAGAAGCAGCAGTGGCAGGCTTGCAGTAGTGGCAAAGCACGCACAGGGAAATGATGCTGCACAGTGCAGAGATGGAGGTAGCGATGGAGCCTGAGAGGTTGTTGGAATGAAGGTCCCTGTCACATGGGTGGGCAGCAAACTTATCATCACAAGAGTGAGGAATGCGAAGTTAACTGACTGACACGAAAGCGGTAGATATGTTCCGATTTCGAAACAAAATCCTCAATGTGTGGCGTACAAATGTTGTAGAGTGCTGAGCACGATGATGGAGGCAGGGATGTCTCCATACAGCTGGTTGGACGCAAGAGATCTGGGGGTTGATGGATCCATCCAAACGGGCATTAGAAAGAAAATCTAACAGTGAATGATGGTCCAGGTGGGGGGTCAAATGGGCGAGAGGAGTGGATGGGAGAAAGATGTAGGGCAAATCATGATGTACCACCTCAAAAAGGGGGCGTGGTGGGGAGGGGGGGAGGAGGGGGGGGGGGGGCCTTGAATGAAGAGAATTGGGAAAGGGTGTCAGGTGAGGGAAGAGATATCTCCCAGACAACTATTTCTGTGAGAGAACCAAAGCCACCAGGAATCCAGTGCACTCGTTGCTGGTCAACTTCTTGGAGGAGAATCGGAAGCACGATGCTAAAACACTGAGGATTCGCAATGCATGGGAACGGCTTGATGCTAGCCATCAAAATGGGCACAAAAGCATTGGCTTCGATGAGCAGGAGGAGCCTCGACCCGGGTTGGCGCGTAAGGCCCACGCTGGGCTGGCTTTCTTGTTTAAGTTCCATCATGGAGTATTGTAGACGTAGATTTGCCGGTAAAATAAAACTGATGCCAAGTCAGGTGTGGCTTGCTTGGTACATGTGGATGCACGGACCAGAACTTCATATATTGCAGTTGACATTGATGCTGCACCGTAACCATAGGACAGAAAGCTATCATTGAGCCGTTGAAGATGCAGCACAGACCGGTCTGGTTCTACAAAGCAGAAGTGGAAGAAGTGGGGATCCGGCATGGAACTCCCTCTCACTCAGAAGGTGAGTAAGGACTCAGTGATTCCAGCCATAAGGGACGAGTAAGGAGAGTTGAAGGGACCTCTTTGACGGAGAAATCAAGCACAGCTCACAGAATTTCCATCTGAGAGAGTTCCATCAGGCTTGCAGGGATGTTGCCTGAAATCTGGTTGCCCGAGAGATTCCTGGAAGATGAGTGCACAAACATTAAAGGTACAGGTGAGCGAGAGGAAGCGAAGGGAGGGGAACACAGGTGAGGGATGGAGGAATGTGTATGACAATAAGCTGCTGTGCATGGACAATGAGGGACATAAACAGGTGGCTGGTGAGGCTGGGAGTGGAAGGACAAAGAAGGGAGAGACTAACAGTCTGGTGAGGGCGAGCATGGCACAAATCTCTGTAGGGATGTTACCGGACAGTTGGTTTGAGCTCAGATCACTGGGGAGCAGCAGGAACCGTGGAGTGGAGAGTGGAAAGGAAAGAACGACATTAAAGGCTTTAACAACAATAATGAAGCGCTTGAAAACAAGAAGGACTTCAGCCTGTCTATGGTGGGTACAGCAGCAGCAGAATCAGCAGCAGCAGCAGCAGCAGCAGCAGCAGCAGCAGCAGCAGCAGCAGCAGCAGCAGCAGCAGCAGCAGAGGCAGACTTGCAGTGGCAGCACGGCACGCACAGAGCATTGATGTTGCTCAATGAGGAGATGGAGCCAGGGATGGCACCGCTTAAGCTGTTGGATTTAAGGCCCCTGAAGCGTGGTTGTTGAATAGAAACAACTCATCAGGCTGACTGTGGTGGTTGTGTCAGAAACAGCAGTGAACTTCACTTACCCAACGACACCCAATGACAGCGCAATCAAGTTGTGCGGTGAGTTGAGGCAATGGAGCCCAAAGTTTGTTTGTAACAAAGGCATGAGGGAGGATTGACAATGTCAACGCGACGAAAACCAATGTTAGCACCCAGATATGAGAAATATTCCAATGGTAGCATGCACATGTTAGCCAAATCGACTTCTTAGTCCAACAATTTAAACACTGAATGCAAAAAGAATTGGCCTAAACCTAACATGCTTGGTTCAGATTTCACCCATGTTAGTGCATGTACGAGAAGAATCCGTTTGGTTTTTGCCTTTCATGCCTACGTACAATTATTCCCAGACGTGGCCTCCTATATAAGGATGTGTGTGTGATGTAATCCAAAGGGATGTGTGTGGAGTAAAAAAAATTATATATACATTAAAACTACACAAGGAAACGATCATGAATTTGGCACGTGGAAGAAGATGGGCGGAGGTGTAAAGAAGGACAGCAACAACAAATACAACTCATACCAACTACTAGAGCTACAAGCACACTGACAGACACCGGGCTACGAAAACCAGTCCGCACTCGTGGTCCGCATTCAACAGAGCCAACGATGATACCCTAGCATCCAGGAACACTTTTTCTTTTCTTTCGAGACAGCACACTTTCACGCATGGAATCTTGAAATTTCATTTGCCAGCTACTCACAGGGACTTTAGCCTACGGAGCAGACTGACGCCGCTACCAACGATGGTGCCTGAAAACTGGTTGTACGAAAAATCACTGGGATGGTGCAAACGAAGGGTTTAAGGGAAACGATGATGAACCTAGTGCGTAAAGTTGGTCGGATGGAAGTGCACAGAATGGCAATACCATCATATGAATGTGCACACGAAGTATGCAACCATACCAATTACTACGATTACGGCAAACACTGGGTCAAGAACGCGACCTTGGAAAGGAGATGAGAGAGAACACAAGACACAAGCAAACTACGATAGGGCATTACAGATAATCCAACTGCCTGAGCGAATATATGCCATTGATAGAGCCAACCAGCTCGTTGTGGCTCAGATTCCTGCAGGTAATTAAATGGACGGAGTGACACTTAGAGATTCCAAAGTTTTTATGAACATGGTTCGATGTGACCACATTCATGAAACCCTCTTCAGATGTGCACTCACTGTGAGATGAGAAGGACATACAGTGAGTTGCAAAGGATGTGGGGCAACAACGACAAATGCGAACATCACCAAGTGGATGAGAAACTGGGAAAGCACTGGCAATATGAGTGAGCCAAGCAAGCAACTCGCATAGAGGATGATTGGAGGTGAAGAAAAGGCCTGTAAATCTTAGAAAAGGGATAAGGGACTACAAAATGAAAGTAACAGCGTCAACATGTCAATGAAGTGGGCCTCAAGCCAAAGCAAGTGGATCATGTTTACATTCAATAGCCACGTTCCACAAACAAACCAATAGCTCACCTCAGCCAATTGCTCACATGTAGTTTAAACGAGTGAGTGGAGCGATGGCATTATAAATGCTGCCTGACAGTTGATTGCCAGACATGTCGCTGCAATGGTCCGAATGAATGGTTCAAAGGGACGCACACTAGTGGTTGTCGTGCATAGGATGTGTGAAGGCGCATGTGCAAGTTTTGCTGCACGCACCAGAGGTAGAACACATATCCCATCTGGTGAGCTTCATGTGCGCAAGGTCGCACATAATGAAGGTGCATCTGTGAATCAGATTTTGTGTACCAAAATGTAAACGCAGCTCACAGGATTGCCAGCTGACTGAGTCCACTGAAGGACGCAGGGATGCTGCCCGAAAGCTGGTTGGACGAAAGATTACTGAAAGCAAAGCATGCAGGGTGGAGGAATGCACACGACATTAAACTGGGCGATGTACATGGGCAAAGAAGGGCGGCGGCGATAGCAACAATGGCCAAACGCAGACAAACGTGGAAAAGCAATGGAGGAAACGGTTGCAAGCGTTTCGGGTGTAGAATGACAGCATGTGTTCCAGGTATAGAACCAGAGAGTTGGTGTCGCTGAAGGAACAGCAGAGACAGTGGAGTGGAAGGTGGGTTATGCGAGTATTCTCCATACCTCCTTATAAAATGAAAATGATCCGTGGTGTCAGTGGCTGGGTAGTGCGTGCAGACATTGGGTATTGAAAAGCCTTCAGAATTGTGAGAACATTGGGCTGGCTGTAGTGCGGAGAGTGCCACCACAGCACGTATAACGCACTGATCCTGGTTTATTGAATGGGCGGATGGAGCTCCAAAGGGCTGTTAAGATGGGGTCTGCTGCTGCAGCATTAGAGGGTGGCAAAGTATGGTGGCAATTTACTTGGCAAAAATATCAGCAAGATGTGGCGTACAGATATGTCAGGTTGGTGAGCAAGCTGATGGTGTCAGGGATGGGTCCGGAGAACTGGTTGTGATTGAGCTTCCTGGGTGTGGGTATCCGCATTGATTAAGTGGCACAGACCATAGAATGAGTACCAAGAGCCAGGTAAGGTAAGGAAGTAATTATGCTCAGAACGTGAAGAATGGAAGGAAAAGACAGCAACAAGTAACAACAAGGGAACAGGATAACGGTGCCAAAATCACTTCCTTCCTAGTAAGGCTACATGCTTTTGAAACTGTGAACACGAAAACTGTGGCTTTTTCTATCCACAGCTTTAGCCGTTTTTTTGTGGATAATGGGCACATGCGATGAAGGCAGTTTAACTGCATGAGCAGGTTTGGGGCAGAAAGATGCAGCAGCAGCAGCAGGCGAACACCCTTTTCCCTGAAATTGTTTGCAGCGAACTGGACACCGCTCAGGTTCGCCCAGGTGATATGTTCGCTCCCTGCTCATGCCTAGGTCACTGTATTGAAGCCACACACGTATTTGCACCCTCGTCTACCTCACACTGCTTACTTCTACTCCAATAGAAAGTTCTGATTCCAGCTGAGGTTGACCCATGAAGAGGAATGTGGATAATGGGATGGGAGTATCGTGAGGAACCGACCATAAGCACACTGACATAACCATCAAAGCTAGTAATGAAGATTAACGGCCGAAGGTTTGTTGGTGGGGAGAGGGGGAGGAGGGGGGGGGGGGGGGGAAGGGGGGGGAAAGGGGAGGATATAGTGCAGGTGACATAAATTGAAGAGTATGCACGAGGACCGGAACAAAAGTCAGGATACAGATGCCCATCATGTTGAATGCATCAACGCAATAGATTCTAACTTGTTGCGTTCCAAAACGTTTATGTCTACACCGTACCCGCTGCACTGCCTTGCATAGTCCGACGCAGGGAAACTCGGCTAAAGATGAAATAATGACCACTATGTGAGCTCCTAACTGCATGTGAGGTTCTTACAGAGTGGATAGCGCAGTGAGACAGGAGATGCTGCTAGGAATAGGGCCACCAAGGCTTTGGGTCGGCACGCTTCTGCGAAGGGAGTGGGTTGGAAGGATAATTGTTTGAGACTTGCCTTGGTAAATACCAAAAGAATGTTCTCGACACCAGTTGAAGGAAAAAAAAGGTAAAAAAAAAAACAACAACAACAAACCACAAGAAGAAGAAGAAAAGGAAGAAAAAGAAAAAGAAGAAGAACAACAACAACAAGAACAACAACAAGAACAACAACAACAACAACAACAACAGCAGCAGCGGCGGCGGCGGCGGCGGCGGCGGCGGCAGCGGCGGCGGCAGCATCCAATGGCAGCATCAGCGGCAACAACAACAAACAAACATGAAGGAACAATGACGGAAAACTAATGACAACGGCATACATGATTTGTAGGTAGGACACCAAGCCACTAAGCGGCATATCTTGACATTGCATCAGCTGTGTCCTCTGGTAGAAGACAACCTTACGCAAAAAGGAGTGCATCACATGCAAGCCTGCTTCACAATGGATGGGACGTGTACGTTCTACGTGCTGGAACTTCTTTTACCCCTCCTGCTTCGTGCCCTTTCTTGCCTACATTCCTTCCTTCTCTCTTGCTCTCTCCCCTAGTTGCTGATCCCTGCCATGTCCTGTGTCCCTACTTCTTGTGCTGCTCAAAAATTCTCTGCTACTGTTCAGAACTGATGCTCAGCTGCATCGAACAAAAAAAAAAAAAACTCACATTGAGGTAATCATTCCTGAACTGTCACAGCGAACACCAGAAAGTGTGCTGCAGTCGGCTCCTATCGACCACAAACTCCTTCCCCACGCATTATTGCATTCTTGGAGAAACAAAGCTGACAATTGGGGACAGAGAACAGAAAGGAATCAGCAAGGACAGGCCTGCTTGTGGGTGGGATGCATTGATACTACCTGCTCGCACGTGTAATGGTCACCATGATGATGGACTCTAAAATGAAAAGAAACGCGACACTGTCGGGCATGTGAAACTCGCACGCTACGAAGTTGATAAATCCACGATAGGCAAACTTAGTAGTTATCAAGTTCACTTTTAATGTACTATATTAATAGTGACGTCACAACTCGACAAGACGGTTCCAAACAAGTTACTCTAATTTTCGAGCAGCATAACACGCGGCGACCACTGTCGTGATAGGCCCAGTGAAAGGCTCTTTCCATGAGATGTCACCCCAGCACGAGAGTGCTTCACCTTGTGTGGTCTGCAATAGCACTGCATTGACCACCGCGGGCGTAACAAGGACTGCGAGCAACCACGCGAGTGCCAGCGCACGCTGCGCCCGGTGCGCCATCGGCACCGCCAAAAAAGCAGGCGAAATCTGCACTCGGTACGTGGCGGTTTCGCACTACGCTCTGGCTGCCGTTTCCAGAAGTCCTGGTGTCTTTTTAACGGACTCGCGATGCTATATAGCACAAATGCTACTGTTGTGGCCAGTTTCAGGCGGCGGGCTAGTATTTTTAACGATTGCTATGACGCTGATGCAACATCGTTGTGCTACTGATCTGCGAAGCTAGGGCAAGAGGAAGTCCACTGGCGGTGGAAGAGTAGGCACAGGTCTCTGGGGAGGGTCTCTGGGAGAGTGGCAGGCCTAGTGTACACCCTCCCGCAACTCACCCAAGAAGGTCCAAACGGGTTATAGTAACAATTCGACCCAGGGCGGTTAAGAAAGTTGTGTTACGTTATAGACAGCTATGTCTGCGTTAAGACATGGTTGGGAAAGGTACTCAACGATAACGGGATGTATTTTCGTCAGAGCTTGTTTGTCGCCTCGAGTAACTTCGCCCACTATCGCTTTGGTCACCAGCCCGCGAAATCCAAACACTGTAGCCAGTGCTTCGGCGGGTGAGGTGGAGAAAGAGGGTGTACAGCTTGTCAATCTATCAGCGATACGGACGGTGGCGATCTCTCGCTATACGGACGGTGGGGCACCGACAGGGATAATTCAGCGGTTTGCGCCTATACGTGCTGGTCACGCGAGGATGTGCAGCTGAGGGCGCGTTCCCCCCTCCGACCTCTTGCATAGGATCAATCCGCGGCTCTAGCGTGCAACTATAGCATCTCAGCTCGCGGGATAACCAGATTTCTGGAAGGCCATCGAATGTAGAATCACACACAGATTTGGGGATTTACGTGCGACCTTCAGGTTAGTGCGCAAGGTGACAGCCAAGATCGATCGCGGTCGCAGTCACGTCGCTATCTAGACACACGACGCACAGTTTATGGCATCTGATCTATGCGATGGTGCCGCATATTGGCTCTAGTAAACCAACCTGAGATTGAAATTCTGCTCTCAACTCCTACCAATCTTTCCCCAAACCTGAGATTGGTGTGCACGATCTGTTTCATACGGCGATCCTGCCTAGATCACGAAGAGGGAACGCGCCCTGACAACAGAGTTCCTCGCTTTTCCCGGGGAAGAGCTGGTGGTGAGTTGCCCCCATCTGTGCAGTACACGAGCCTTCAGATCATGGTAGCGGCGCCTGTGGCAGGGGACACGTCATCGTGCTTCAAAAAGCGCAGTGATAAAATTGCGCGCGTGCTTCCCAGCAACGTCCAGATCTCGCCCATGTGGTCGCCATCATTTCAAGTGACTCGTCGTGACCAACGCACCTGAGTCAGGCATGTACTGTAGTTCATCCGTACAATACAA